CAGTTCCATACCTTGCGATTAGGAGTAAAGTGGAATTTTGGACGGTTTCCAGAGGTGAGCGATGAGTGCTTCGTCCTTCGCTCGAATAAAAATATACCAATAAATGATGTTCAAATTACAAATTTGTGATCTAAGCATGTTTTACACGAAGTTGAATAAATCGATTTCAGCCAACTGGTTATCCTCGTCCGCATTTCGATACCTCTGTAGAATACTCCTTGGATAAGAGGAAAAGATGGGAAGAGGTTAGTATTTCAGTTTATCTTCTAGAGAGATACAGCTCAGGCAGGAATCGTTTGTACGATTCCCTCGGTCTGTAGGATAGAGCCCCAAAGGCAGAGTCAACCCTGCCCAGAGGGCGAGCACAGATCTGGCATTCCTGCACGAAAATCCAACAAGAGCGCTAGGGCATGCAAAGTAAGCTGCTGCAGCTGCAATTTTTTATCAGGCTGTTGTCTGGCGCCCTCTCATCTGTTGCGCTCTCTCGCCTCATACTCTCCTCTCGCGCTTAGTCTCTCATTCCCTTAGCACAGCCGATTAGGAAGGTGAGTGAGCCCTTAACCTGAGCGTTTTCGACGGATTCTTTTCCTTTTTTCTTTACTGCCGGCCCATTTCGCACCAATACATTGTTGAAATGCATTCGCATTCGTGTGCAATCAAACCACTTTAATCCTGGGGCATGCCTTCAAAGCGACAGTCCGAGCAGGCCTCTCACCTTCAATAGTACTGGATGAAAGGATGACTATTTGCCAGCAATTGCAATGGGGGCGCATTTTCCGAGCGCAAGTTTGGACAACTCGTCCGACACGCCTCTTCCTTCATTTTTAAGGGGGAGGGGGTTCCTGTTTGAAGCCTTCACCGGCGTTTTTTTTTGCTTTTTTCTTTATTGTCAGTCAACTTCGCCCTACAACTTCATTATCAACCCTTTTAACCCCGCGAATTGATACTATCTGGAATTGTTTCTTTAACTAGAATAACTATATAGTCATTAATTCAACTACATGTTCTGCTCTTTTTTCAATAATTTATACACTCTCTCGGGTCCAAAGACGGAGCCAGCATCACATCTTAGCCAAACCTACCAAAATATTGACCTCTTAAGGGCCGGTCAAATAGAAGCATTTGTTGTTGGTGTGTAATTTTGGGATAGCAAAGCTCCTTCAAAAAGAAACCATCTTAAAGGAATCTTCCACGGAAAAAGCTCCGCCCTCATTACCACAGAAAACGATACCTTAAAGGAATCTTCCACGGAAAGAGTGATCATTTTGTCTTGTGTGTAGGATTAGTATTATCGAAACTAACGCTTATGTTCCGTTCTTTTTGCTATGCTCATGAGGCTAGGGGCCTAAGGGGTATCGTTTTTCTGTGGTAATGGAGGCGGAGCTTTTTCCGCGGAAGATTCCTTTAAGCTCATCTGAAATCGTACCCAACATATTTCAGATCCGCGAAATTCAAGAAGACCTTGAAAGGAATACTACTCAAGCCGTCGTCAACCTTTGCACACCTTTCAGTAAGAGCACTGTTATTTGAAGGAGCAAAAAAAAAGAGGAAATTTTGGGGGGAGAAGGACGAAAGGAAAAATTCACTCTGCATGTATTCTCATAATACGCTTTGTTATAGGAGGCTCCATCTGGTGGTATATGTTCAGTGGGGCTGTTGACTTGGCCAAACTCAGTCGGCGGATCCTTTGCGAAGCAGCCGTGAAAGGAAAGTCGAAGAATGTGAGCTGGATTCAACTTTTACATTAAATTTCGGTTTCGGGCGAATGGTAAAAAATTCATTTACTCACTAGAAAACTGAATTATGGGTTAAGCTTTCGCCGCAGCGGAATCTAACCCCCCAGCTTTCCGGACCGTTGTGGCATCGGTTGCACCACCAGGGCACCATCACCTTACTTCTACTCTTCCTCTACATTCCATAAACATAAACGACTAGGATTTGCTGTCTCAAACTGTACTGAAGGGAGCGATCGTGTTGTTCGAAGTGGTGAAAAGCTCCTCGCGTCATTCATAGGAGGAGTCCGAATAAGAGTTGAGATAGAGGTTGTCCCGAATAGTTAAGGCTTCTCAAGGCAAGGGCCCTCGATATCAACGATAAGGTGAAAATGAACATCGAGCAAAAACGGCAACTTTTACGCGACAACCACACATCCATTGCAAACAAATCCACCAAAACGTACCTCGATAAGAGTTCCAGAAGTTTAAAGAGCTTGTTTCCGGCACCTCAGTACTGCCCTGAAGTGCCAACTATCGTCCCATTGGGTAGGTCTCTAACCAATCTACCATGTATGGTAGTTTTCCAAACGTTCCAATAAGAATGTATTCACAAGAATGCTGGGTTGTGAACAAAACTTTCGCCCCAGGCGGGACTAGAACCCGCACCTCTCGCTTTCCGGGCAAGTGCGCTACCAGTTACGCTACCGGGGCACCATTTCATCCAACTCAGCTCTTCATGGTAACCTCCCCTTCAAAAAGCGAGAAAGTGTCGGGTGCAGACCAAACACCACAACTGACGACGGCCTCCAAGTAAATCTGGTTAGAAGTGTTCATAGTGATAGCTGATTTCTGGTAAATGATAGTTGTAATTAGTGACAACTGATAGAATACAACTGCAACAGGCTAATCATTTCATTGGCAGAAAACATTAACATTTTGTGGAGGCCGTCGTCACTTGTGGTGTATGGTCTGCACCCGACACTTTCTCGCTTTTTGAAGGGGAGGGTACATTACTCACTGCAACTCCTGGAACTCATGCGGCCTTCTTTTTTACTGGCAGTCGCACGTGATTTTAACTTGTTGTAGCGCTTTTTGGAAATGACGGCATTGTCGCTGATGACCTGTAAAAGGAACCAATATGATGAAGATCATGCATATGGCGAAGACAAAACAGTAAGGAGAGAAAAGGATAGGTTAAGTATTGACTCACACCAACAAAAATACCAGCAAATATACAGAAGAGAGCGAAAGGCTTCATACTTTGTCAAGTCTCCGAAAGGG